CTGGCGGCACCTTTCCCTGGTGTATAAATAAAAATTATTCTACCTGATGGTTCTGAAAGAACATCAGAATCAGCTAAAAGAATTCCACTTTGATTCCTATAAGGAGTAATGTAAGCATAATATATCGCAAATACCACTTTGGAGAAGAGGAGAGAACATTTTTTTCTCGAAAAATTCTGATCTTGTGTAATGCAGAAATATTATAACATATTTCAGTTTGTGTCTCGAGATTTGAAAAGAACAGAGATCAACGTGTCCAGTATATCATTACATTTTTGAGCTCCTGAAGATGATACACGTTAGAAGATTACGTGAAAAATTCAGTATAACCAGGATTCAATAATTTGAATGTTCCTAATCGGTAATGTTCAGAATCACAAATTGAAATAGTTGATACCATTTCGTGAATTGGGAATTGATTGAAGTTTTTTTTACTACTAGCTATAGAACCATTATTTACTGGAATGTTATCATGTCCAGGGCAATGATGATATTCTTTACTACCTTGGTGGTGCATGAATAACTATTATCTCGTTATTCATCTGAGGACTGTGAATATCATTATGTACGAGATTATACAGGAGCAACTTTCTAAAACCATCGACAATATACATCACAGGAAATGGGGTTCCTTTTGTTGAAATGAATGGTTAATCGTAAAAGTGTGGAATAGATTGAATCGAATTGAATCGTACATATACATATACAGGGTGTTATTTAATTGTTGGTTAAGAATATATAGGATTTGGTTTCTTAGCTCATTTTAAGAAGAAAAGTTAACTGTTATCTTTCGAGTTTTAGGGTGTTGAAATTTCAAGAAAAAATCTTTTTCGATTCGCAACTGCAATACTGTTCTAGATATTTTCATGAAATTTGACATGCGCCTACTAAGCACCATATGGTAGCTTGTAGGTAAGATGTGTAATAATTGTCTAATGTTTACTCAAGTGAAGTCAGAGGAAGAATTCATGATTGGTTCACAAATTATTTGACGAATAGAAAGCAGTATGTTCAAGTGACTGATACTTGTGTGAGGGTTGCTGATGGGCTGTGTGCACGTGAATATATACCAAAGAAGGGAAGATTTGTATTTCGTGCAAGAAATGTATTCAAAATATTCGTAGCAGAGTGCTTTCGACTGTTATGTCATCATCAGTATTCAGTGCGTACTCGTCAGGTTAACAGGGGAATTCGTCCATAAAAATATCTTTAAGTAAAATACGTTACAAACAAATTGAAATGTGTTTCCCAAAAGGGGGTAAAATATTGATTACATCTTGGAATGGCTGCTTAACAAGATGTAATCCATATTTTACCCCCTTTTGGGAAACACATTTTAATTTATTTGTAACGTATTTTACCCAAATGTCGTTAGTTTTAAACTGGACAAAAGATATTTTTATGGACGAATTTCCCTGTTAACCTGACGAGTACGCACTGATGATGACTTAACAGTCGAAAGCGCTCTGCTACGATGCTACGAATATTTTGAATAAATTTCTTGCACGAAATACAAATCTTCCCTTCTTTGGTACTGATACTTGTACCAGTTGTAGCTTACTTATGAATATCACATGTGGAGTACCGCAAGGATCAGTTTTGGGACCAATTTTATTTTTAATTTATATAAATTCAATATCAACTCTGAAATTGAAAGGAATTGTTTGCATATGATACAATATTGATTTATGTATCAAGAGAGTTGAATGATATCGAGCGGTATATTAAAAGTGATTTGAAAAACATATCATCTTGGATGAAAATTCATAAGTTGACTCTTAATTTCAATAAATCTTCATATATGTATATCTCCGAGAGATTATGTAATATTTCGAATAATGCAATATCTTTCAACAATAGATTCATTAAATATACAGAGGTAACAAAATTTGTAAGTCTCTATATTGATGAAAAATTATCGAGAAAATTATTGTGGACTAAACACATACACCATTTGAGAAATAAAATAAATCAAATTATAGGCATTTTATTCAAAATTCGAAATTTTATTCCTGTAAAATACGTGAAATGTATCTACTTTTGCCTCATATATTCAAATTTACAATATTCGATTCCTATTTGGGGGAACACACATGATTCACTAATGAAATTACAAAACAAATCAAGTAAGTGCATTTTTCATCTAAATTTTTTAGAACCAACAGTAAAATAATACAAACCAGAGATTTTTTTTAAATCTGATCTCGTTATATAAACTCAAAATTTCATGTTGTTTCATCCATTTCTTCAGGAATAAATTTCAGGACAAATTGAAAAATATTTGGCGTGATTTGATTACTCAGAATTGAAATGTTATAACTTTTATCAACTTATCTGGGAATATTCCTTTTCTATGAGAATATTGAAGTTATGATAAGAAAATAAATTCAATTTAAAAACACCCTATAGCTCGAAAGTTAAGAGGTTTTGGGTATATGTTCATATGAACTTTTTTTCTTGAAATGAGCCAAGGAACCATATCCTGTATTGTCAGTCATCAATTAAATTACACCCTGTATGCAGAAAAAAAATTATATAATAAAATGCTGCCCATTGAAATGGTTGAATATCCAACGCTAATGAGAGATTAAATTGTCGAAAAATATGCATACAAAATTTTTTTAGCAATATTTAATGTAGTCCCACCCTGTATTTTACACTCCTGATTGAAATTTTAGTTTTTGTACCAAATTGCATCTTTTTATCTTATGGAGTTTCGAGAATACTCAAGAAATATCATCTTCAGGAGCCCCCTTTCAGGGGACCGTAGCTCCCTTAGGAGACATTCCTTGACTCATGTTCATTGAAAGTTTCCTTTCTATTTTTGGTCGTGAAAGCCGCTGGTGAGGTTTGGCAGGCTAATTTCGGGACACCCTGTATACAGTATATCAAAAAGTCGAATTACTTCCAGGTCCATATGCACACCCGTCTACGTATATTAGGTACTATCAGTCAAACCTTCTGCTCTACTCGAGAGGTATTTACACGGGATAGTTTCCACCTCGGTTTCCACTATTTACTGATGTATTTCAACCGAGCTCAGCCAAAACTTTTTCAATTTCCGAGCATTGCGGTCGATGCAGTATTCGAATAATTTATGTTTACAAATCAACGTGTACGGAAACACATTTTCCAAATGAGTATACCGGGTGATTCATAATTCGATTTAGATTTGAAGGACGTATTGGGATCAAAATAATCCCATTGTTTTCAAAATAATCATGTGTCTTGAATCCCTCCGAATAACAGACATTGTGAGTTACTTGAAAAACCGATAACCTTCCATCATAACGCGGCAGTCTATTTATTTCTTACTCCAAAAATTATGTGTTTTGGGGGAGTTGGAGGGAGAAGAGAAACTCCAAATTCGAATAGCTTCACCTTGTAGATCATGAGAATGTCTATAAATTCATTCAATTAAAGTCTCCCATGTTTTATGCTACTAACCATTTACCTCAAAAAATCACCCTGTATAAACCAATTAAAGTTTTCCTCAAAATAATGGCTTATTACTTATTGTGAAATTGACATTTAACATCCATTTCTTCGAAGGGCTAAGTATATTATATCCCTTAAAATCCATTTTCTCAGAAGTGTCAGAAGACGAAAGTGAAAAGATCCATCGATAATTATTTTTAATTTCTTTGTTGAAAACGGTAGCAGATTCATCCTAGAAACATCTAAAGATGTGTGAGATTTTATACGTTCTCAATACATCAATATTGTTCTTCTTCAAACAATTTTCAAACAAGGTCACTATCGATTGAATTTTTTTGTTAGGTTTCTTATAGGGAAATTTTGAGAGTGACATTTTGGAGCCAATCATCTGATTTGTCCGTGCTACAGGTATTGAATAATTGAAATAATAAAATTCTAGTGGAATTAATCTTTGTCAAGGTTAAAAAATTATGTTCCACGAACATTACAGGAATATCCTTGCGTGTGCTCCAAGAGAAAAGGGTGTGATAATAATTAAATCGGGAAAAGCAAAAAAGGTAAATATTCATAAACAAAATTGAAAAATTGAAATTGAATTAATGAAACGATTGAAAAACTACACTCTTGCGAGAAGGTATTCCGAATATCGTTCCGTGTGTATACCGGGTGGCTACGGAAGTATTGCGTACGGAATATCTCAGTTATCGTATGAAGTAGGTTTGTGAAATTTGAAGCGTCGATATAATGACATAAGAGCTAGAATTTGAGCATATTGACATGTCGAAGTTACCTTCCGGTCTGACCGGAAGTAACATCAACTTTCTTATTTTAAATGGAAACCCTATTTTTTTTCCTTTTTGCTTTATTCAGCATTCAATTCCCTTTCTAATGACATATCACAAAATGGTATCTCGATTTTTCTTTCGATAAATCTGTTTTTTTGTTATTTGAAGAATAATAATTGGATTTTTTGGTATTTCATTTCAAAAAATGACTTTCTATTATATTAATAGGAAGGAATGGTTATGCTGAATAGTACAGGCAAGAAAAAGTTGTATGATCCTATTTAAAATATAGACCTACAGAGTATTGTTTTTTCCCAATTTTTCCAATATTTTTCTTGGCGGCTTTTTATAACGCCGACGAATGAAAATAAAATATCACAGTAGTAGCAACTGTTATCAAGTGACGTATGGTTTCCATAGCCAACTTTTCAATTTTTGGCTTTCATTTTGCTTCCACGGCCTACTCGGTGAATTTCAATAATAATTTTTTTCTGATCTAGTTTCTCGTTAGATACCAACTTGTGATATGTCATTAGAAAGGGAATTGAATTCTGAATAAAATGAAAAGAAAAAAAAATAGGGTTTCCATTCAAAATAATAAAGTTGATGTTACTTCCGGTCAGACCGGAACTTAACTTCGACATGTCAATATGCTCAAATTCTAGCTCTTATGTCATTATATCGACGCCCCAAATTCCACAAACCTACTTCATACAATAGGTAACTGAAATATTCCGTAGGCAATACTTCCGTAGCCACCCGGTATATAAAACTTACCTCTTGATTATACTGCCTGGTTTCTCGAATATCATCTTCCACTGAATCATCATTTTTCATATCCTCACACCAAACTACACCAAAAATTATCAAAACCGTCACAAAGTGCAGCCACTCCATGCTGATGTTCAGCGATCACTCAACTACCCCCTGAAACTGTTTCTGAAAACATGAAGTTTCTCAAACTCGTGCATCTATGGAATGTTGTGTCAAACCCAATCAGCAATTGTGAAGAACTATCTGTGAATGATTAAGGATTTGTTTACAACAATGTGCGTTGATCCTTTCACTAGTAATGGTAGGGGCAAGTCAGGCAGATTCTTATTATTATTGCAAGCCGGCTGGTCAACAAAAGCTTTCTCCGAAGGTTATTCTGTTTTAATGGTCATTTACGGAAATTCTAAGGAAATAGAGAAAGATCCTTATATTCCTTATGGGATTTATGGGTTTTCCTTCGAAGTAGCAAAACACTGGACATTTCTCAAAACAGATTAGGGTTCATAGAGTAAGTAGGTAGGTAGGTAGGTAGATAATAATAATAATGATGATAATAATAAATCGTCTTTAGTCATCATTTGCAGAAGAAAAAAAAATCGCACAAAAAACATTTATTATTATTATTATATATAAATATATTATACATTATTTTGCCAAACCTTATACCTATCTGCAATGGTGAATAGAGGGAGTATCAGCAAAAAGCTGTTACTCAACTCAACCGCAAAAATAAAACAAGAAGAACAACAAGGTAATTCATTAAAATCTAAATCTTAAAAGGTGTAGAAACAATGTAGATGCGTTATTTCCTCGAAGAAACACCTAGATATAATATATTATAAGTATACAATAGAAAGAAAGAATTGAAAAATCAAAATAAAAAAATGCATAATATTGAGAATTGAATAAACAAAGGATTATCAAAAAGGCATTGCTAGATTTTTGATTATAATTAGACCTACCTGGCTGAAAGATCAAGCTTTAATCTCTTCAAAGTTACGGAGAGTGAAAGATCTAATAAGTTCCATGGGAAGTGAATTATAATATTTGCTAGCTGAATAAGAGAAACTGCGTTTGAAGAAAGATGAATTATGTTTTGGGATAACAAGAGTGGTTTTATTGCGACTGGAAATTCGGTTAACAAATGCAAATACCTTGATTGTTCTAACCGTAACCATCCAGAGACATGCATCTTAGCAGATACCTATGTGCTCATATTTTCGTACTCCGTATGAAAACCTCAGACAAGAATTTTGAATTCGTTGTAAGCGAAATGAATCACTTTGTAATAAAGCAGGTCCATACTGTCGCAATATGATAGTTTAGAGAAGATTAAAGATTCGCAAAGTTTAAGCTTTAGATTTTTAGAGAGGATATCTCGGTTTGGATATAATTGCCTCAATACATTATATTATGATTGGCATAAATAGCTGATATATTATGTTTTGTAAATCTCATATATCTGAATCCAACCAAAGTCCAAGATTTTTGCTCTCATTCAAGATGGGAAGAATGTTCTCATTTATTTTTATTTTATTTGCAGTAGATTATTAACAGAAGCTCTAATTTTCTTATATGTATAGGCCCAAATAATATTATTATAGATTTCTTAGGGTTGAGTTTTAGATTGTGAGCACATGATATATCAAACAGAGAATTCAAGTCGGAATTAATACGTAATACCTTATTGAATTGAAATCAAAAATTATCAATCTAGAAACAACATTACAAAGTTTTCTCTCAAAGAGATAATATAACGTATTAGTATAACTCATCATAATTTATATTGAAAATCTCGAACATTAAATATCTCGATCATTAATCGCCCTCATTAATACACTTAGCTGTTATACAAGGTGTCCCAGAACAACGTACCATGAATTCAACCGGGTGAACTAGACATCATAATAGACTGATTGAAATCAACTTACCTATAGCAGTCTATAGGAAAACGAACGGTTGAGCTGTGACAGGGTGATGAGGAATGATTTTATTTACAGATTTTCTGGAATATTTCGAAATCCTATAAAATTCGTATTCCTATTCGTAATATACAGGAAGATAGATATTTCACATTCTCTATGTTGAAAATTGATGTAACTTTTTTGGAGTACACCACTGGCCATATTTCGATATTTCAATGAACGACAAAATCAATTATCACTATGTTTTCTAGCTACAGTTTTTTTTTCTAATTCCTCTTAGTTTTTCAGATATCTAACAAAATACCTTTTGGTGCTTCTCGCCGTACTATTGTTTATAATGTCAGGATTACCTATCATATTTTAGACATTTCTACCTCATTTGTGTTGAGTTACCGACCACATTGTCCATGTTCACCATTTCGCAAGCTCATCATCATATGATAAGGGAGCTATGGTCGTTTCCAAATTTCATTATTTTTTCTCGCAAAAAACTTTTTTCGACAAAAAATATGTTATTTGAAGATGGCCAACAGCCTATCATATTATGCTGAAAGTTCATAATAGTTACTTATCTACAACTGTCAAGTAATGATTATGATTTGACACTTTTTTGAATGTCATAATGACGTTAATTACCGTACTAGTTCTTTTTTGAATCTATTACCGCACTAGTGCGGTTATGAGATAAGGAATAAATTTCAAACAAAATAAAACGTTTATTGAATGAATACAAAGAAAATTCAAATAACACTTGTCGTCGCATTTTCAATATCGGAGGGTAGATCATCTTCACTTGAAGACATTTTCACTCAAGAAACCTAATGATGTTGCTGGATATCTTTCGGACAATTCAATTTAACATCTATAAACGGCTTTGTTTATACTTACCGTTGCTACGGTTACAAAAATGATCGCAGGCAACTTGTATTTTCAATTATCAGAAAACTGTCATGAGTAGGTACGTCGAAGTGGAGGGAGTCGGACAGTTCGTCCACGGGCCAGGTACCTGTTTTAAGTACACCGATCAGTTGGACCACGACCGCTCTTCGAGAATTAAAACAATGACTATTTTTTTAACATATATTATTTATTATTGAGGTGAATTATAATAAGACATAATTTTTACAAAATCTTTTTGTGATTAAAGGCCATATCTATATTCTGATATCTTAGCTATAATAAAATCTTTTTTTTCTGTGTTGCACTGTTTAGTTTTTTGGTGGAACATTTTACGGAATTTATTTTAATATATGTTTCTGCTTGAAAGTTTATTAAGATATTTACAAAATTGAATAAACTTGGGTGAGAACTATAAAAATTAGAATTATAATGAGAATGAAATGATTCACATGCGTTTGTGGTCCTGTACATACTATCTGTAGTTCGTCAAGCCCAACTACTTCCTTCATAGATATAAGTTTCTACGATATAATTGCAAAATTTCGATGACTTGGATTACTAGGCTTTATTGAATGCATTTCTTCAAAAAAAAGTTTCCTACGACATTAGGGTCTGAAAATGGAACCAAAAAAAATAATTTAAGAAAATTGACTAGTTTTTGTACCGATATTCTGTGACTAAGCCAAAATTTCGAATAACAGTTGAAATAATTTTAAATAACTTGAGCTGTTCTTGTTTGGTAACAAGCAAAATGCAACAGGTATATAATAGCCATTTTTAAAAGCATGAACAGTGAATAATTGTAGAAAAAATTTCGTACAAAAAAGTGTCACATCGCAATTTGTTATCAATGCGCGAACCTTGTCATTTTTTGACGTTTGTAGAAAAACTAAATCAACTAGATACTTATTAAGGATAATTATGCTTACTAGAACGTTTGAACGTTACTGAAAGAAGAAAATAAAATGTTAACCTGGTCGAACTGCAGGGTGGGCTTAACTGGACCTTTTTCAAAAAAGGATTAATGCAGGTACCCGTGGTCCAACTGACCGGTCCCCGAAGTGGAATATAAATGAGGTACATTTAAAGATATCATAAATCTAATTGTGTAATTAGATCTATGAAGATATGAACACGTCGGCTTCGTCGTGCAATCCTCACATGCGTGCGTTAATAATGTCTATATCCCACTTGTCACGTAAATAACTATTATGTACCAAGTGCGTTATATAGATGCTAACGCCCGGAGGGTAACATTCAGTATTTTCCGGACTTGTTACGTGAATTACTATTGTTCAAATTTCTGTGGTTGTGTAAAATAATCAATGGGATAAGGTAAGACATGCACGACGTTCTCGGCAATCTTGTATATGGAATTATGAGTTCAAAAAAATTGAGAGCCGGCAGCAAAAAATGAGTAGAAAGCCACAAATTTGTTCATCATCCAACTCGAACCGCTGGGCTATTTACTTTGTTCACGATGTTTTTTTTTTTTGTGAAATGTAGCCTATTGGCTCATATGCACCCCAACAAGAAAATTTACTGGGTTTCTGCGTTCATCTGTTTCTTGTTGGAATAATTCTATTCTGGAGGATAGTGAAAATTAAATTTCCACATTTCCGGACTGTTGAGTAATATTCAAATAATCAGAATGTATTATTTTCTTTCCCAAGTAACACTCCCAGAAAACATTGGAAATCGGTGATCCATATTTGCATCAAAAACCTATATTATTATAACAAGCAACGATTGGCGTTGAAGGGTTATATTAATTTTTGTATGCATGGTAATCAGAGGAGCGGATGGAGATCGACAAACAAAAGCAAGCCACAAAATGTTTTTCAACTCCAAATCAATAAAACATGTTATTTTTGTGCCAAAAAATGTATTTGGCTACATGCTCCACCTCTTGCTGCGTACCAGTTTCTTAGTTTATTTTTCCTGTTTCCGTTAAAAATGTATTTGCCCTGAAGTGCATGAAATTAATTGAACAATACATTATTATACAACAAAACCAATAAGTAGGTAATTAAATAATTTGAATAGTATGGTCACGCTCAGCGAATACCTACCCGTCTAAAAACAATTGGATGCAGTCCAAATTTCATAAGACCATGACAGAATCATTATATAACATCGAATTCGAAGTACCACACAATATCACAAAATATCTCGAATAATTATTATCACTTTCGACTTTTAAATCAAATCGATACGCTCATTAATTACCCGGTGGTATGAAAAACGGATCAACTTTTCATTATTTAATTCGAGAACTGATAGAATAATATATCTTATGTGGAAGTCCATACTTTTCTCTGAGTGGAGTGTATTGATGGAAGGGTTTATTCAGGGGAAACATGTTTCGAACAGTCATGTGTCCATCATCAGGCTATAATCCTTACAAACCAAAAGTCGTGAGAATG